TACCAGTCCTTCATCACCTTACACGAAATAGGGTGAATACATCTCATTACACTGATTTGCTGGTAGTCTCAAAACCCTACTCTAATACAAATAACGTTTTATGTCACAGCTGATGTTGCATGCCATTATTTTATTCATTATAGGCTATCATACTACATAGTAATTTTTGGTATTGACTGGCAAAGTCATTGCTCATTATCTAGTGCTATCATATTCTTAAAAAAATAATTACGACTACCACTTCAGACTTGAATAAACGATTATCGATAATTTTATCAGGATAAAATTTGTTAGTTACTGTATGAATGCGAGATCAAAATTAATCAGCTAAATCATATTCTAATAAAATAGAGTCTTTCAATTTCTTTTTCTTCTTTCTTCATAATACTAGATTCATGCCCTCTTAACACAGAAGAATCTGTAGACTCAGCGGAGCTTTTCATGCTTCTTGAATTTGAGCGCCCAGTTGTCTGTCCATTACGTAGTCTGGCGATCGGCTCGAAGTTAGACGCTGATCCAATGGCAAAACGATGTCGTCTCGCTTTTCAAGGCCGAGTATTTCATCTCTTCTCTGATCCCAAGTATCGAGAGACTCAATTGCCCAAACTTCTGGCAAGTTTGCAAGCGCCAAATTTACAATACACTTTATTTTAAAGGCGAGTAATTAAATCAGGTCAGATGCGATTACATTTTGAAAGCTAACGAAGAATCTATACAGTTATGTCTGCGGAGCAGGAGTTTCAATTTTTGGACATTCGGTAAAGATTTGTGAGCCGAGAGGAGTCGTTAGGTGGTACAGACTCTTCAGCCGTTACTGCTAGAAGCGGTGGATTCTCTATTGGAATGTGACTTAGTGTTAAACTGTCTCAAAGAGTGCCAAGGGGCAGCTATTTTTTTCGCCGGTATGGAGTGAGAGGATGTGGGGAGAAGGGACAAGGCGGTTTCAGATGCTAGGTCTTCTCATTAAATACGCAGGACAAACTCTGATTGGGGCGAGTGGGAGTCGGCCTGGTTTTTTGGGCATTTGGCTTCGACGATTGGATCCTCATGCTGTTTGGTGGCGGATGCGAAATGTGAGAAGTTAAATGGTATGTGCAACCACAGACCTTGGAGGGATGGCCGATTAAAAGATTGAGATCAAGATTGTGGTTCATTGACCACTTACCTGCGAGTTTTATAATTACTATTACAGCTCGAAGGTATGAAGACTAGGATGGTGTGGCCTTTTGTGTGGTCGTGGCCTCCTTTCGTTGTATAGAAGTTGTTCGATCTTGCTTACGCAACTTGTATATATTGGCAGGAAGACCTGGAGTAATGCACTCTGTTCGGAGTCCTTAGTATGCATGATAATTGCCAGAGTCGAAACATGCATTCATAGACGTTTCGCCAGGATCTTCACCGAGTCTTATCATTCTTAGCGCGACACTACAACTCGTCAAAGAAACAAGTGAAGTCGATCCTTTGAGCATTTGTGATATCTTTCCTGTCTTGGGGTATTCACCTATACTATATACTCGTTTCACCACTTCGATTTCACTATTTCTCTCTTATTTAAATGTGATTTGGCGTGCCGCTTATTTATCAAATCCTGGACCCTTCATGACATCTGATGATTCATGAATTTTTAAAGACTATAGTATATGACTGACCAGAAGCCACAAAGGGTCCGGGATTTGATACATAAGCGGCACGACAAGAAATTGCTTAGATATGGGACAGCTCAGGATCAAACCATCCCGGGTAAGTTTTGATGGTTCTGTATTGAAGGCCATTTATCTCCCGAAGTAGAGGTTTAATTTGTTTTCTAACTAACAAAGTTGACGTTCTAGATGATATCCTCGAGGAAAATGTTAACATATCGGGTAAATGTCCAGAAGAGAAAAAGGGGGAAATAATCCCAAGAATCCTGACCAACCAAGAGTGTATTAACGCATTAACCGATTGACTGGGTTACGCAAAAAATTACGAAAGTATGTCCAAATTGTTCTTCCATTTAATGAAGGAGAAGCGGCGGTGCTAATGAACACGAGCCAGTACATGATGAAAGTGGAAAGTATCTGGTCGACCGAAGCACTTTTCAAATACTAAGGAATGATTCAACCATGATTATCAATGGGATACTGAAGGAAATTCATAATAGCGGAGAAATAGACAGATGAATGATAAACTCTTTAATAAAAAATGACGCACTACTACCGGCAGCCCACGAACTACCGAAAATACGCAAGAAATGAAAACCGTTTAGATTAAGGGTTAACAACAAACAATCTAGCGAAATTCATCTGCTTGAAGCTCAGGAAAGTAAATGGCATTGTTTTGAATACCGTGAAGAATTCACATGACTTTTTTTAAAGGATCCGAAACATCGGGTTGGTGGGGACGTAACTGTTGGTAAGTTTTGACGTACAATCCAACTACACAAACATCTCAGGCAAGAAGGCGGTAAGCGAGGAGAGGATATCCTGGAGGTAGAACGGATACGGAAGGAGTCGCTAACACGAGTGATCAACCTGACAGTAAGGACAACCTAT